AAAAAAAAAAAAAAAAAAATCAAAATTGGTCAAGGAAAAAAAAATTTTAGTTGGGCGTGATGGCGCATGCCTGTAATCCCAGCACTCAGGAGGCTGAGGTAGGAGGGTCATTGTGAGTTCGAGACCAGCCTGGGCTACAGAGTGAGCTCAGGGCCAGCTGAACTACATAGGGAGACCCTGTCACAAAAACACCAAAAAAAAAAAAAAAAAATTTAAGCATTAACGGTTCCTTTCCATAAACCAATAGACATCAGCAGTATAATTATCCCAGCTATCCTTGTATATACATATATTTTTTCCCCTTCTTTTTTCTTTTTCCTCATCCCAGTTGTTCCTTCCCTTTGAGCAATTTCTTTCCCTTTCACAATATGTTGTACCTTTTCGGTTTTATTTACTCTTTCAGGTTCGTACACTAGGAAGACAATATGATATTTACACATGTGGGTCCAATTTGTTTCACTTATGAGTGTGGTCTCTAGTTGCACCCATTTACCTATAAAAGCCTCAAGTTTATCTTTTTAAATAACTGAGTAATACTCCATTGTATGAAAATACCATATCTTTTTTTATCCATTCCTCCGTTGATGGGCATTTGTGTTGTTTCCAAGATTTACCTATGACAAATTGTGTTGTTATAAACATGGGTGCACATATATCGCTGTGATTAATGATGTCTTCAGCTTTTCTGGAAAAATATCCAGAAGGGGAATAGTTGGGTTAAGAGGGACCTCTACTCCTAGTTTTGTGAGGAATCTCCACGCTGATTTCCACCGTGGTTTTACCACTCTTCACTCCCACCAGCAGTGGAGTAGGGTTCCTTTTTCCCCCACAGCCTTGCCAGCATTTGTTATTGATTGATTTCTTGATGATAGCTATTCTTTCTAGGGTGAGATGGAATCTCAGTGTTGTTTTAATTTGCATTTCTTGAATGACCAATGATGTTGAACATTTTTTCATATATTTATTTTCCATTTGTATTTCTTCATCTGAGAAGTGACCTGTGTGTTTTAATTTTGAGATAGGCTCTTGCTAAATTGCCCAGGTGGGATATGAACTCCGTATCTTGCTGCCTCAGCCTCCTGAGTAGCGGGGTTGACAGGTCTGTGCCATCTTATTTATTTGTTTATGTTCAGTACTGGAGATTGAGCCTGGGGCCTTCAGGGTGAGCTGTAGCCTAGCTCATTTTATTTCTTGTTTTGAAACAGGGTCTGGCTAAGTTGCGTAGGTGTGACTCAATCTTGTGAACTTTCTGCCCCGACCTCCCAAAGTACTGGGATTACAGGTGTGAACAGCTGTGCCTGGCTGAGCTCTTACCTTGCGGAGGTTCTGTGTCCCACTCTCACCTAGCTGTTTCTTTTCACAGTTGTGCCACGACCGTGGCTACCTGGTGACCCAGGATGAGTTGGATCAGACATTGGAGGAGTTCAAAGCCCAATTTGGGGACAAGCCAAGTGAAGGGCGTCCACGGCGCACTGATCTTACCGTGCTGGTGGCCCACAATGATGACCCCACGGACCAGATGTTTGTCTTCTTCCCAGGTGAGGGCCCATTTTGGTCCATGGCTTCATAGTATTCCCCCAGGGTCATGGTTCTTCAGCATCGTCTTGAGGTGGCTTGTGCGGCTCATCCTTTGGCACTTTTCTCCTCTCAGTCCTCATCTCCTGCTGACCTTGCTGTCCAGCCCTGAGTGTCACACGGACCTACCTCAGATCTGCCTGTGTCTCCTCTGCTCCTCCACTCCAGGAGGTTGTGCAGGTCACAGGCCTCGCCTGGCAGACAGGCCTGGTGTCTGTTGGCCTGTCCTGATCACTCCTGCCCTTGTGTCTTCTTCAGAAGTGGGACAGGCTTCCTGGCCTCCCCCTTCCCGGTTTCCCTCCTCACTCTGCCTGGCAAGCATCCCCTGATTATCTCTTGAGATCCACCACCCGTACCTCTTCCCAGAAACACCAGGTGCCCTTGAGCACCCTGTCCCTGTCCTGCTGCCTCATGCCTCCTGTGTGGGGCTGCTCCTAGGTGGTGTCATCGGCCAGGTCGCTTGTCCCTGGTCATCTTCCCCTGACCCTGCCAAGCCCTGGAAGGTTGTTGGTAGGGATGTTCAGAGTGCCTCCGACACCCAGCCAGCACCTGGACCCTGGGCATGGGCCGAAAATAATGTGGTGGCTGGCCCAGGTGGCTCTTCTAGAGCAAGTGTCCCCTGTGTGTGAGATGTGTTCCTCAGAGAGCCTGGTGCTGATCACCTGCCTCCCTGTAGAGCCATCTTGTGGCCTCTGCAGAATCTGCCCGGCCTCGGGGCCTCCCCAGGGTCAAAGGTCTCACCTCTCTCCCTGGTCTCTGGGGGACTGAGTGTATTACTGCTCCTGACAGGACAGGGTTCAGCTTCGCACCTGTGCCAGTCTGTGGGGGCTGTTTTCACAAATTATCAGACAAGTAGCTTCAAGTGCTGACATCTGTTTTTCACAGTTCTGGAGATAAATCCAAGGCCAAGGTGTTAGTATGGCTGTGTCTTAATCACTTTTTTAAAATTTTTGGTACTGGGGATTACACCCATGATCCTGTACGTGTTGGGCAAGTGCTCTCCCACTGAGCTACATCTCTGGCACTTTATATATATATATATATATTGATCCTGGCACTTTATATATATGTATATATTGTTCTTGTTGTTATATATATTGTTATTGTTTGTTTTGTTTTGTTTTGTTTTTTTCTGGTACCGGGAATCAAACTCACGACCTTGCACTTGCCGGGCACTGTGCTGCTGAGCTAAATCCTCAGCCCCTTTATTTATTTATTTATTTATTTTTTATTTTTTTATTTTTTTTGGTTTTTCTCCGGTACCGGGAACCGAACTCACGACCTTGCGCTTGCCAGGCAGGCGCTTTTGCCGCTGAGCTAAATCCCCAGCCCCTCAGCCCCTTTATTTATATTTTTGAGATAAGGTCTCCGTAAGTTGTCCAGGCTTGCTCTGAACTTGCAATCCTCTTGCCTCAGCCTCCTGAGTAGCTGTGATGAGAGAGGCATACTTCACCAGGCATGGTCCTTTAATCACTTTTTTTTTTTTTTGTACCAGAAATTGAACCCAGGACCTTGTACTTGCCAGGCAGGCACTGTGCTGCTGAGCTATAACCCTGGGCTTAACCTTTTTTTTTTTTTTTTTGGTCTTTTTGAGAGGGACTCACTATGCAGTTCAGGCTGGCCTTGAGTTTACTTTGTAGCCTAGGCTGGCCTTCAGCTCCCAATGATCCTCCTGCCTCAGCCTCCTGAGTGCTGGGATTATACGTGTGCGCTACCACACCTGGCTTATTTTGTTTTTTTTTTTGAGATAGGGTCTTGCTGTGAGTTTAAGTTGGCCTGGAACTCACAGTTTAGGCCCGCTGGCCTTTTATCTGCCTCTGTCTTTTTTATTTGACACAGTGTTTTGCTATGTAGTTCAGGCTGGCCTTGAACCCTCAGCAGTCCTGCCTCGGCCTCCCAAGTGCTGGGATTCAGGCATGTGCCACCATGTCCCACCTTGCCTCTTTAAAGACTGTCTCCAAATGTACTCACATTCTGAGATCCTGGGGTTCAGGGCTTCAGCACATCTGTGATGGCCCAGGTGGGTGGGGCAGGAGGCTGAGGCTGAGGGCCCGGGGTTCCTCAGCTCAGGTGACACCTAGTTTGGTGTGGGGACAGGTGTTCTGCCTCTCTAGCAGCTCAGCCAGCTTCATCTCCCCAGTGTCTCCCAAGCCCCACCACTTGGGGCACTAACCCCATGCTCCAGGAAGGGGTCCCCAGGTCGTGCTGGGCCTCCTAGAGTTCTTCCGGCTCCTGGTGCTGTTGAGGCAGCCAACTCTGCCCTGGGCTCCTGCTGCCCAGGTCTGGGCAGGGGAACTTGAGGCCCCAGAGGGCCGCGGGTGGCCGGAAGCCAGCATAGACCCCTGGCGCACGCGTGGGCCAGGATTGCTGGGCAGCGTGTCAGCATACATCTGTCTCCAGAGGAGCCCAAGGTGGGCATCAAGACCATCAAGGTGTACTGCCAGCGCATGCAGGAGGAGAACATCACCCGCGCGCTCATCGTGGTGCAGCAGGGCATGACGCCCTCTGCCAAGCAGGTAGGTGTCTCAGCCACACACCTTGCTTGCCCTACTGCCCGCTCTGGCCACCACACCACGCCCCGTCTTCCCCAGCCTCAGGTCCAGACCTGACTTTAGGAACTCAGACTCTATCCTGCCTGGCAGTGATGGGGACGTTCTGGAGGGCCCAGGTTTCTGCCCCCTTTGCCTGGTGGCCAGAACAGGGCTGGGTCCCTGGGCATGTGCCTTTATGTTTCATGTCATTCAGTTGGAACTGAGCTGGTGTGGGATTGTGGACTTGGAGGATGGAGGGTGGTGAACTGCCCTGTGCTGGCTGCCCAGGCAGTGGGGTCCTGGGGTCACAAGCAGTGGGTGCCATTTTCTCGGGGAAGGGTCTCTGTGCCACAGAGCAGTCTGACAGGTGAGAGGATGCTGAGGCTCCATGCTGGCTGTGACCCCATGCCAGCCCTGACCCAAGACCTTGAAAGTCCTCAGGCTGGGGTGGAGGGTGTCACACTGTGGAGGACGTACTTCCTTTCTGATGAGTGCTGGGCCGCATGTGGAGGTGTGGCTGCCCAGTCCATGTGATGCTGTGTCCCCCACAGTCCCTGGTAGACATGGCACCCAAATACATTCTGGAGCAATTCCTGCAGCAGGAGCTGCTGATCAACATCACGGAGCATGAGGTGGGGCCTGAGACAGGCAGGGGGAGGGAGGGGGGCCCAGGCTGGGGTGCCTGTGGGATGGGGATCTAGAGCTGGTCACTGTGTGGACCCAGGCTCCCCTGCATGTGGTTGGGTGGGGGCTCACCCAGGGTTCTGCCAATACCCCCTGAACAGCAGGTGCAGGTTTTTGCCTAGCCTGTCTGACTGAGGGGTCACCCCAAGTGTCTGTGAATTCTTATTGATACGTTCTCGGCAGCTGGTCCCAGAGCACGTCGTCATGACCAAGGAAGAGGTGGCAGAGCTGCTGGCCCGATAGTATCCTTTCAGGCCCCTGCGCTCCCTGTCCCTTCCCCCTGCCCTGCTCCCTCGGGGCTCTTTGAATTCCTGCCCCAAGAGCCGACTGGACTTTTCCCTGACCACTGCCCAGTAAGCTCCGGGAGAACCAGCTGCCCCGCATCCAGGCCGGAGACCCCGTGGCCCGCTACTTCGGGATAAAGCGAGGGCAGGTAAATGCCCCTGAGGGAGCCACACCCCTACCCCTTTAAAGCCAGGACCAGAGAGTGTCCTTGGTTCCCAGTTCCTGCGGCTGCCTGCCACTCAGCCCCAGCCCTATCCCCTGCCCCTTGTAGGTGGTGAAGATCATCCGGCCCAGTGAGACGGCGGGCAGGTACATCACCTACCGGCTGGTGCAGTAGCTGTGGAACAGCAGGTGAGACAGGATGGACACACGGCTCCTGCTGCTTGAGGCCCTCGTGTCTTGGCCACGGTTGGCTTCAGTCTCCTTGGAGGTCAGGGCTTGCCTATCCTCCACATGTCCCTGTCCTTTTGGGGTCTGCCTGGCTCACATGACTGTCACTTCTCTCCTGCCAGCCCCTGGAGACAAACGGATGGACATATGGGCACGGGCTCGGTTGCCTTCTGTGGAGACGTGCCCCGGCCTCTTTGCTACTGCTGCTCTGAGCTCCCTGGACAGCAGTCACTGCTCAGTTTACCTTATCTGGATGAGGATTTCAGTAGCTGCATCATGCCGAGGCCTTAGAAAGGACATGGTGCTGTCCAGGGAGGTCCCCTGGGACAGCTGATGTGAGCCCTAGTCCTGGGGCAACCTGCCAGGTGGGGACCAGGGTGCCTCTCCCAGTGGCCTTGACGTGCAGCTGACCATGTGGCTCACAGTCCGCTGTTGTGGGCTGCCCATGTGTGCCTGTGGCCTGTCCCCACGCAGCCTCCTCCACCCAGACTGCCCCTGCGAGCGCATTGCGGTCACCAGGATCTGAGGTCTCAGCTCGATCAAGTTCTCAGCTGCCATAGAATGTTGAATGTTTTAAAAATTAAGGCTATTTTGAGTAAATAAACTTATCTCAAACACCAAGACTGAGTCCTGGCTTTCCGTGGGGTGGCATCGCCCTGAGCCGCAGGTCAGTGGGGCAGGGCCTAGTTTGCAGGTGGCTCTGGTGACTCCCTGGTGGGTCTGTCTGCAGGAGTTCGGTGATCCTTTTGACTTTTCCAGGTCAGTCTATCGCTTTTCTTTTTAATGTCTTATTTTAGAGGTTTTTGTCTGTAGCGGGTAACAGTTTTTATTCGATTTGTTGAATCTGAGGATCAAACTAATGGCCTGACACACTAGCAAAGTGGTACTCACCACCAGGCTACACCCTCAGCCCACAGCCAGTGTTCTTATTTGTTTATTTACTTATTTATTTACTGTTTTTTTGAGACAGTGTCTTACTCTGTGGTTCAGGCTGGCCTTGAACTCAGTCAGTGTTTTTTTTGTTTGTTTTGTGGGGGTTTTTTTTTGGTCTTTTTCAGACAGGGTCCTGCTATGCATTTCAGGCTGGCCTTGAGCTCACTTTGTAGCCCAGGCTGGTCTGAACTTGCAACGATCCTCCTGCCTCAGCCTTCTGAGTGCTGGGATTATAGGCATGCACCACTATGCCTGGCTAATCAGTGGTTTCTAATCTGCTCGTAAGGTGCTATAGCCCTTGTTCATCTCCGAAGCCAGAATATTCTGTTATTCCAGTAGGAAGCCCCATCCACACGAGCAGTCACCTGTCCCCTCCTCAGCACCCACAGTGCCACTTCATGTCTCTGGGTTCACCTGTCCTGGGCATCTCCTGTGCATGGAGCCAGCACTGTGTGTCCCGTGTGTCATGTACCATTGAGCACACCGTGTCACGCCCTCTTGACCCGGCCAGGTAGGGGCTGGAGCAGACGTGTGTTTCTGTCCTGTGTTGTTCAGTGTGGCTGCTTTCCAGCTTTGGGCCACCGTGAATCGCACTGCCGTGTGCAGGTTCTCACACAGGCGTTTTGCTCTGTGGTGCGCTTGCCATTAGGGCTGTCGGGGGCGGGTGGTGCCTGGAGGCAGCATGTGAGCCTCAGGCTGACTCACACGTGGCAGCACCGCCTCACACTTGCACCATGCTGCGCCAAGGCTCCTCAGCCTCCAGCACTTGGTGCTTTCTGGTCGCAGCCGTCCAGAGGGTGGGGAAGGGTGGCCTGGACTAGATTTGCTTTCCCCGTCAGCTAATGGGGTTGGGAGCCTTCTCATGCTCCTCGCCTGTTTGCACAGTATTGTTGGAGAACTTCTGAGCGCACCCTTTACCTGTCATCTTTTTGGGTTACTTGGTCTTACTTTCCTCAGTAAGTTGAGACAGGAACTGCATTGGCTGGGGATCCCAGCTGAGTTCAATCCTGCAGAAGGTGTGCTGAGTGCTACAGGCTGAACGGGTCTGATTCCATCATCGCGGCCAGAGAACAACCTGAACTTGAGGGGAAGTGAAGGTACGGGCTATTTGGAACTGTCCACTACCCGGCCATAAAGGTACTGCTAGCTTGCTGGGATAAGTCAGTGCAGATCTGGACTCTTGTCTCCACACATTGTCTGCCAGTGACAGCAGAGACAAAGTTGACTTTTCTCTCTTTTCTTATTTTTTGGTTGGTTGGTTGGTTGGTTGGTTTTTTTGTTGTTTTGTTTTGTTTTTTCATCGTTTGATCTTGGTTTTACGATTGTGAACATGATTTGTAGTTTTTTTGTGGTTCTGTTCTTTTATTCCTTCTCTCCCTCCTGTCTTCTGCACCAGTTTCCCAAAGGTTGCATGGTCCTCCTTTGTCTTCCAGCCTTGCTTCTAATCTCTTCCTCTTCTATTTCTCTATTCCACCCCGCCTCCAGGCCTTTCTAAGTTTCCTGCCCTGAGGGCAAAATTAGCATATTGAAGGCTTATTTACTGCATACAATTTTCTAGTTTGTTTTAGATTTTGCTCTATAACTACAAATCTAGTTCATATGGTTAAAGGTAGTAAATTATTACTATTATTTTTAAAGGTGGTAAATTAATGCTTAACTCATTTTGTCATTTGCTAGGCTGTTTGGGGTATTGTTATTGCTGACTGTAACACTTTAGCCAGAGTGATATAATTGTTCTAACCAGCTGTTCTTCCTAGTATACCAAGACTGAGATTGCCTAAGGATCATGGAAAATACTGTAGGCCAGAGCCAAAGAACCAGGAACTTGTCCAGGCAGGCAGCAATTTCTCATCCCCAATAAATTCAAGAGGTAGGATCTTGCAACAGACTCAAAAGCCAAAAACCTGGTACACCTGGAAGACACCTCTGAGAAGTAGTCATTTCCTAAGGGTTCTAAATACTAGCAAAAAAAAAAAAAGCAACTCACCATAGGTAATTTATAAGCATCAAAGGCAAACCCAAAGGGCAATGAGGTGGGACAATTGAAGGCTACCCACTTGGCCTCTCTAAAGTGGTAACAAAGCAAATGAATGAGGCTCTAGAAAACCATATCAGAAATAATTTCTCAGGGCTGGGGATTTAGCTCAGCGGCACAGTGCCTGTCTGGCAAGC